GGTGCATGGCTCTTCAGGTTCGTGGCAATTAGGAATGTGGCTCTCTGTGAACAGAGAGAGGACCACTGTTCTAGTCTAGCCTCACTGGGTGTTGTGTGAGAGCCAGCGTGGCGTAGTGCTCAGAGTGCAAGGTCTGGGAGACCCAGGTTCAAATCCCGGCACTGAGGGGAAACTTGCCAGGGAACACGAGGCGGCCTTCTTCTGAATCTGGCCTGTGGCCCATCAAGGTCAGCCTTGTCCACTCAGCTGCTCTCCAGGGTCTCAGGCTGAGGTTGGTCCTTTTTAACTGGAGATGCCAGGGACTGAACCGGGGGCCTCCTGCATGCCAGGCAGAGGCTCTGCCACTGAGCTACAGCCCCTCTTTACAGCTCTCCAGGGTCTCAGGGGGAGGTCTTTCCCATCACCTCCTGCCTGGTCCTTTCAACTGGAGATGCCGGGGACTGAACCTGGGACCTCCTGCATGCCAAGCAGAGGCTCTTCCACTGAGCCACAGCCCCTCTTCACAGCTCTCCAGGGTCTCAGGCGGAGGTCTTTCCCAGCACCTCCTGCCTGGGCCGTTTTAACTAGGGATGCCTCTGGGGATTGAACCTGGGGCCTTCTGCATGCCAAGGAGAGGCTCTGCCACTGAGCCACAGCTCCTCTTTACAGCTCTCCAGGGTCTCAGGCACAGAGGTCTTTCACGTCACCTCCTGCCTGGTCCTTTTAACTGGAGATGCCGGGGATTGAACCTGGGACCTCCTGCATGCCATGTAGAGGCTCTGCCACTGAGCCACAACCTCCACTTTACAGCTCTCCAGGGTCTCAGGCGGAGGTCTTTCCCAGCACCTCCTGCCTGGTCCTTTTTAACTGGAGATGCCGGGGATTGAACCTGGGACCTTCTGCATCCCAAGCAGAGGCTCTTCCACTGAGCCATGGCCCCTCTTTACAGCTCTCCAGGGTCTCAGACACAGAGGTCTTTCACGTCACCTCCTGCCTGGTCCTTTTAACTGGAGATGCCGGGGATTGAACCTGGGACCTCCTGCATGCCATGCAGAGGTTCTGCCACTGAGCCACAGCCCCTCTTCACAGTTCTGCAGGGTCTCAGGTGGAGGTCTTTCCCATCACCTCCTGCCTGGTCCTTTTGAGAACTGGAGATGCCGGGGACTGAACCGGGAGCCTTCTGCCTGCCAAGCAGAGGCTCTGCCACTGAGCCACGGCCCCTCTTTACAGCTCTCCAGGGTCTCAGGCGGAGGTCTTTCCCATCACCTCCTGCCTGGTCCTTTTTAGCTGGAGATGCCGGGGACTGAACCTGGGACCTCCTGCCTGCCAAGCAGAGGTTCTGCCACTGAGCCACGGCCCCTCTTTACAGCTCTCCAGGGTCTCAGGCAGAGGTCTTTCCCATCACCTCCTGCCTGGTCGTTTTTAACTGGGGATGCTTCTGGGGACTGAACCGGGGGGCCTCCTGCCTGCCAAGCAGAGGCTCTGCCCCTGAGCCACGGTCCTTGGGGCAGTTGTATGCCCTCGGCTAAGCCTACCTCACGGGTTTGTTGTGAGAGCCAAAGGGGGGAGGGGAGAATGATGCAAGCAGCGTTGGGTCCCCACTGATGCGAATGGCAGGGGGCATACACTCATCAACAGGAGGGGGGGACTCCCCAACTTCCTGGGTGCCCCCTCCTGCCATCTCTGGCCACCTGCAGCCAGAGGCGTGCTCCCTCCCCCCACGGCCTTCGCCCGCCCGTCGTGTTCCACGTCCAGTTCTGAGGGAGGCCCCGGATGAATCCCGCCTTGAAAAGGATGCCCTGGGAGGGCCAGGCAGGAGGGAGCAGCTGCCAGTCCCGCGGGGACGGTGCCTCTGGGCCTTCCCAGCCCAGGCACACAGCTGCTCTACAGGCCCTCAAGGAAGCAGAAGTGAGCAATTCTCCTCCCCGCCACCCAGGGACCCTGGATCTCTTCGACTGCTTCGAGTAACCCCAAGATTTCTCCCCCGACCTTCAGGCTGCCGGACGAGGGGCTGCAAGCAGACAAAGAGGAGGAGGAAGAGAAGGAGGCTGCCGCGGAGGAGGGGGTGCAGCCAGCAACAGGGGACGGTGAGTCCGGGCCAGCACCGTTCCATCCCACCCCCCACCCCTCAGCCTTGGGCAAGTGTGGGAGAAGCTCCTTCTCCCCCCCCCCGCAGATGG